ATTTAATGAGCAAAAACGATCCTCCAATATGTCCAATATGCGGCACTGAATTATCAATAAWACACATAATGGCCGAATTTCGTTCATACTCTGAATCAAGACTGGCCTCAAACGTTCAAGAACATTTATCGGAGTAACTCAGCCAAAAAAGTTCATCACTTTCGCTACCACCAAGTTAATCAAAGAGGCCGAACTACAAAATAAAATATGAACAATGTAAAATAATACAGTTTTAAATGTAAATACAACCCAATGTAGCTTAAATTTTGTAACCCAATGGCCTATGTCGCCAAGGGTATATTTCGTGTAAATAAAAAAAAAAAAATAAGTAGGTAAATGCACGCACACATAATATTGATATCATACATACAGTCAACATCTCTCTATATTTTTAACTCAACTATCTATCCCCCCGCCACCGTTTCGTGTAGCCAACCACTATAAGTGTTGTGCGTTTAAACTATTGCACTATACAAGGTAATTAATCCGCATGTTAAACGCAATTATTTCCACTAACAATAAATTAATTCAAATTTTGATTTTTAAATATACTTAAAGAGAAAATTTTTAAGTTATTGACATATTTTTGCTTATACTTAAGGACCTAATCTGTAGTGATACAAACTTGCTACTCCCTTTTTTGCGTTAGATTATCGAAAAAAAAAATTGTTTTGGTTATATTTTTTATGTATTTGCGCCTATTTTAGAGTATCAAAATATAATTTAATCAGTTTTTAAAATGTTTTTAGGATAATGGCCCTTAAAATTAAATTTACAAAAATATAAAAGACAGGTAATATTCATTTTAGTTTTTAGTATACTAAATATACTTGGTTCATTAAAAAAATCATAAATGATGATAGTTTAATATTAATGTGCACAATTTTCAAACCAATATATCCAAGACCATATGTTCTCCAATTCTATTATCACGGACCTATTCTTAGTACAAATAAAAATACCATTCTGTTGAATTTTTATTTTATACGTCAACATTTGCAGAAAAATTATTTGGAAAAAAGGGATTCTTGTTTGAAAACAAAAAWTTTTACATCCACTCCTCACTTCTAAATAGTACAAAACAATTTATAAGTAAATTATTAGAAAACATAGTCTTTAGACTTCTTAAAAATTATAAAAAAATAGGATTTTTAACATTTKCATATTATATTATTTAAGAAAAATACGAAGGTGAGCATACTTGGTGCACTTTGTAAGTGTGTATGTGTTATTTGTAATATATTAATAATGTGTACCTGCAGGAAAACGCAGTGTAATATGGTATGCAAATGTCATATTTACACATAAAAAGTGTTTCCTATTAGATAACTATAATTATAATAGTATAATACACGCTAAAAGTTTAATTAATTTACAATATATTTAATGAAAGTATTTTCTTATAATTAATGCAATTATATACATTTTATTGTTGCCACATTAATACTATGTTATTAAGTTACGTTCCATCAATTATTTTGACTTCTTATAATGTCTTTATTTTGAGATTTTACTGATTTAAATAACATTATATTTTATGTATATGTGTTTTTTTTTTTAAATTTGACTCATAACCATAGCACGGGATATAACGTTTTTAAATTTATGTATTTATAAATTAACAAATAATTATGAACTCTCTGTACATGCATTTTGTATCATTTTTGGAAAAATTTATTTTTACACAATATGTTCAAGTAAAAATGATTTGAGACAATTGTTATAACAAATCTGAGGTTAGAATAGATAAGGTAAAATGAATGATACCTCCAAATGTGCTTAGATAATTTTAGTGTCAAATTGTATTTTATATTTTCTCGAGATCAATTGTATATCAAAAGTACCAGGCTACYCCAATAATAGTGTACTATATTTTTTATTCGTTAAACCTTTTGGCCTCTTTTAAAAGTCCCAGAAACCTCGGGATTCAATATGGACACACAATAATAATAAATTGAAAATATCATGATCATCGTTGACGTGTGGGGTCTCTATAGACTTTGCGAAAACTGACAGTCGTATATGACCCACATAACGTACAAATGTACAATGATCAAAATGCTTGCCCGGAGCCATGGTACAAAATCCAATAAGCTGCCTGTGCCATCAGTTAACTCGAAAACGATATTATATTGTTATTCGCATTATGTTCCAAAAACTGTTACATGCGTGCCAATTATTTGACTTACTTTATTTTTCTTATTCTACTGTAGATATATCAAATACTAGTGTATAGACATTATACTCGTAATTAAAAGTATTTTAATGAAGGCGGTTTAACCAACATAATAATAGATATTAATATCAGAAAATAAACAACTGTAGATAATACAATATTATTATCCTTGAAATTATATTTAAGTTCATAAAATCATCACGGCTGTATAATAATAATACAATTCTAAGTCAAATAATGRAAATATAATATAAGATASAGAAGAATAATTTTTGATATTTGAAATCTAAACAATATAGTAATTATTAAGGTATTTTTCAATTGAAATATTTCAATGAAACTGTAAAACATTAGTACATAAGTTATAAATTATTGACGTGTAAGCCTAAACTATAATATGTTGTTTCTTATAAATTTGAAACGTTTTAATAAAAAAAACATAAAAAATATAATTTCCAAAACATCATTGAYAGTGTAAAATGGACAACGAGTTGTACATCCTATTTCGTATGTCCATGATGTACAATTAATATAATCATGGTTATTTTTAAGGTTAGGTATCTATATAATGCACAAAATTAGTTTCAATCGACTAAACCGTTTTATCGTTAAAATATTACAAAAAGTAATAAAAAATTCGATGTGAGATCATACAATAGACACTTATTCGCAAATGTAGAAGAAGATACATTTAAGTGCTTACAATAATAATTTTTGTTTTTTTGGTTGGAAAATTTAACTTACTAAAATATTTTAATACTCGGAAGAAACAAATTTTYACAAATGTTTATTGTTACCATATATTAACGAGTAGTTAATTTGTTTCCAATTTTAAGTGTTTAGAGTGTAGACTATAGTGTTTAAATGGGATGGCACAGAGATACGCMCGACCTATTATGTTCGTAATATTACTATCATAGCATCATTACAACATTATAGACTGCTTATAAAATGTATTAGTTTGTGTCGGGTATCGTTTCATCTTTCATATGTAATAATAAAATACCTATTTGGCGGCAACGATTTCTTTTTCGGTATGACGGGGGTGGCAGCTTCCACCGGGAAAAAAGTGGCCCCGTAAAAGTCCAAACCGTTGTGCAGCAGCACGTTGCACTCCTCGACGGAGGCCAGTGTGACGCGCACCACAGGCGGCGCCGGRTGGTGTTGCGTGTTCGCAGACGCGGACCCGCCCGCCGCCGCCAGCGACGACGCCGGTCCGGCCTGCAGGAGCTGTTGCTGTTGCTGTTCAACAGCTGTCTGCGACGTAGCCGCGTTCTTGCCGTCAGCCGCGGTCAAGGCCGCGTGGCGGTACCCTGAAATGAAAAAAAAAAATATGTGGTTAGAAGAACCCATAGACCATTTACTAATTGACCGACCCTCTTCACATTTCCACCGTGTCAAGATAGGTGRCGCATTTCGGGAGTTCAGTTACTCTGATACGGTACAATACATACAATATGCATTATGCATAATATGTATTATTAAACATGTTAAATGGGCTGCATCACTGCGCCATGTCACCATGCAAATTCCAATATATTTGGTATCGGATGTGCCGGCATATGAGTAAAAKGCTTATGGAAGAATCGCGCCCATGGTGTTCATGGAGTGTTGGTTTGTCGTTGGTGTGTGAAGGGGGATCGTCGACATAATATAAATAAAACATGAAATGTAGGAATTGYTCGCGATGCGCTTACATTTTTCCAAGAATTCAATTTCCAAAACATAATATGGCTATACCTACATGCTTACTGTTTTTAAAATTAATGTGGGTGTCTACTCTTAAACAAATCACCCTATCATTCATTCTCAACTAAAAATTCGTTGTAATAATATAACTGTAGTTTATACTTATTGCTTAACTCAATAATGCGTAACCAGGAGTTTAATAATTATGTAACCAACCTTTTAATGATTAGATTGGTTTTGTTTTTAATCGATACGTCAAGCTAACATAATATGAACGCTGACCTAACCTGCCGAGTATACATTAAATATAATTTTTGAAAGTTTTATTTGAAATTTATTCCTTTTGCTTTTAGAGAAAAATGTTTTACGGAAACGTATTTTTTTGTATTTGCGTGAAATGTAGTATATATTTAAAAAAAATTCCATTATGACGTGTCCTAAGTGGACTACCGTGTTTTTTGGTACAAAAAAAAAAAAACAAAACAAAAAATGAATTCTTTGCGTATATACAAAAACAACATTTTTCGACGGGGGAAATAAGTACAATGAAAAAAAAAAACATTCAAGTTTTATCAAATCAATAACAAATTTTGATTTAAAGGCAACTCATAATAATTAAACATTTAGACACAGTTTTGAACAAAAAATATCTTATACAACCAAAAACTAAATTACAATTGTTAAGTAGAATATCGATCAAATATCACAAAAATATCACAATATAATTTGTATGAGATTTCAAATGCAAAAGAAACAATATAATATTGTAAATGATTGAACATGTATTTTGTATATTATGATGTGTCGAATCATCAACGATRTGAAATTTACGTGTTTTTATGAAATTAGTAATTAAATAATAATATATTTAATGATATTTTTCATGTGGGGTATAATATGGYTAAATATTAATGAAGTTTTAAGCTTATACAAGAGTAATATTAAGCATAATAATAATAGTGAATCTAGTGATCTTCGTACTTTAAGTTAAAAACGTTCATCTAATCGGTAAGACATAAACAACAAATTCTCGAATTCAACCAATAAAAAAGARGAACATTATGTCCTATCCGATGAATATTTGATTTGTCTAATTTTTATTTAATTTTATATATTTATTAATTTTTTTAAGGGGGGAACCTGTGGCAACATAAGCGATTGGGAGTGGGGTGGAATGGTGGTGGTTATTTTTGTTTGTAGGTTTTTGAGTTGTTAGGGTTGTAACACGTGTTTGTGTATGTGTGGAAAGGATATGTTGCTAAAAATCCTGGGTGATCACCCATCCGGGAGCTAGCAACTACGGCCGGTACGTATGCTCAGTGCGTTCCCAGTGTTCCTACAGATTGAGCGTATAACATACCTCACCAAGCCACAATTTATCGATTTTACTACAATCTACCGATGTTATTAAATTTAAATTTAATTACGTTATTCTAACACTCATGCCAATTGGCAATAACAACAAATTTATAATTTTTGTAATTAAATCGATTATTGATAATTTTGTAATGTTATAATTAATTTTGAAGCATGGTTAGATCTTAGATACTACTATATGGACTTCCAGTGACGTACCTATGAGATTGAGGTTGAGTGAGCTACTAACACCCCCTCCGCTCCTGAAATATTTTAGAAAAACCAATATTATTTCCATGGTTTAAAGACGATGCAATAGTCTTAAAACGAATTTCAATGAATTTCAATGAGTATTTTTATTTTGTTGACTTATTTTATTGCTTAGAAACAAAACTTTAACCCGGAAAAACGAATRCTTGGAGTCATAGATACTTCGATAACAATCTCCGAAAAATACGGTTACAGGCTTTTTTAAAAATAATTTGATCAATTTATGAGAATCGTCTCGTTGGTTTAGCATTATTAAATATGCATAGAAATATTTCTATTACAGATGATATAGTCGTCGASAAATTTACCAATAGTGAATGAGCTGCCCGTTTAAAACTTACTTATTATTTAGTACAAACATTTAAAATAGCTACCTAATATACATATTGTGATTGTGACGTTATTTTATGATACATCAAATATAATTTTTCATTTTGACGAATAGCGATGTTTATAAATTTTTATTAGTCTCTTCTACTCTGAAATAAAATTTTTATTACGCGACTGTGGATTTTTAATGTTGTACAGTATATAACAGGGATATACGATGAAAGTTCACACGATGAAAAAGTTCCGATAATTACTTTAATTATAAAAAGGTTAAAATATTTTTCATTTTGTTTTATAGCAGTATTTAAAGCATTTGAAAAAGGATAGTTTGCAAGAAGCGAATATTGATGAGAGTCGTTTTAATTCTTATTTGTTTTAACGTAATTATTTTAGGAACATTTTTTCAAAATTTAGATTAATTATACAATAATTTCAACTGAAAAAGGTTAAAACAAATGATGTCTCTATTATGATATATAATAAATATAGGTATAGTTTTAAATTTTAGCACTAACATGAAGAATAAAAAAATCTGTTTAGATTTTAATAGCATTAACGTACTAGTGTACTACTCGTATTTTAYCTTACGCAATTCACAAAATAAGTAGAAATAATAAAAGTAGGTTTATTTGTTTAATCTGCCAAATTAGTTGAAAAACTAAAAAATGTGAACGTATTCCTGTAGACTCAGACCGTTGCGTTTCAAGGGAAATTAGGCGTCTTGGTAGAATTGCATTTGGTGGTCCGTTGTTGATTGGTTCAATGATATCATATTATATCGTTTGAAATGTACACGTCAAATAGTATAACGATATCGTACATTTCATGAAATATATAATATATTTTTAACAGTATCATAATATAACGTGTGGAGACCATTGGCCGACAGTGTTTTTGGCGCCTGGCGACAGTCGCCTAACCGTATGCCGTCGTCTAGTCGGTCATGTAATTAGAACGACGCGACGCGGCGAGAGCTCTCAGCGACGACGGCGGCGGCAGCAGTGTCGAAAGGTTACGTGTATACGCGTGGTGAGCCAGCCAGCGGGAGACGCGACGCGTCGCAAGTGGAAAACCGTCGCCGGGTTGTGGGTACACGGGTGGTGCGGGTGGTCAWGGGATAAGGGATTGCGGAAAGGAAAACTCTATCATTGCCACCCGCCGACGGCTTCTGCCATCGCCGCCGCCTCTGCGACGCCCACTGGATTTTTAGAATTCAATTATCTAGGCACTAAATACATGTATAAATATTTTTCACACACATATTATTACAACCTCCCGCAACGCGTTCGGTGCACTGCGTGACGAGTAGTTAATTTCTATCACCATCCAAAGAACCATCAGCTGACAGTGAGTGGTGTTGCGTTGGTTATTCGTAGAATAAATTCACCCCTAGCGCCGTGATGGTAAAAGAAAAATATTAAGCCAGTTATGCTAGGCTTGCATTTGGCATGATATATTGATATTATGATATGATGCACAGGCACATTTTTCCTAGGGAGAATTAATGTTGGTATTTGAAGGAAAATTTTAAAATGATTAAAATTGTCTTCATATTTTATCAATTAAAAAAAAAATTCAAAAAGCTTAAGAGGGAAATGAAATTAAAATTAAGATATAAAAAGTTACGATGATTAGCCACAAGACAAACTTTTGTAAAGTCTCCGAGCAAGTCGTAGTACTATGCGTATTAGGTATAGGTTTGTTCTATTCATGTATTAAAATGTAATATTATCAATATCCATTGCCTTTTTTACAGTCACTCGTAAAACGGTAGTACCTATTCCTTAACAAAAGTATCTAAGATCCAAATTCGGTTAGACACTATTATACTAATATTCAAAAACCACGTTTAAAAGTGCACGTAAACAATGATACAATTTCCAAGGACCATGTACATTTTTTGTTACGGTTAGATTTATGTATTATAATATATTATAATTGTATAGTATGCTAATTTATTATAACTATTACCGTAGAATATTGGTACATATAACTTATAACATTTAATTTACTTGGTAACTATAAATTACCAAACTACACTCACGCGTATAATGTAATAACATGAACCACGTTATTCTTACTTGACATTTTGGATACAACTTTGATAAGAAAATGATCTCAATGCATATGTATGTTCAAGTCTTAGGTGCAAATAGCGTTTAAGATTTGAGCTAGAGGGCTGAAAACCTACTATAATACTATAAAATTGTATGTTATTGCCTGAGAGAGATTAACCCCTAATACCCACCCCAAATTTGTACCCATGGTTAACCTGAATACGTATTATAGGCGAATTAAACAATAATATAATTACTGTGGTTTARTYGTTTTTACGAGAATGAACATACTATATTGTGATTACAAATTGTAAAACAGAGGTACCTATGTGACAAACTAAACGGATAATATCATCGTTGTACGACCCGTCCATTTTTCTTCTATGTATTATTATTCTATCCGAAGCAGCAGTCGATTTATTTGACGATATATTATACGTATTATAGCGACGCTCTCGATAATAAACTGCATGCTGTGCATATTATATACGGCGTATTGGCGTGTATATGATATAACGTCGTAATGGAGCTGTACATGTATAAATCATTTTAATAAGACGGTTGGTTCGTTTTTTTCCTACGTAATTGAACCGCTACTTCATAAGACATTT